GAAAGTAGGCCTCTATACATACCCACTATTACATAAGAAAAAGCTTCACCTTTACTGACAGTAGCTCAAAAGCACTTTTAAATTTGTATAGCAGTCATCCTACTCGGAGCCATCAGGTGGAAAAAGCTGTGATAGATCCCATAGAATCACAGGAACTATTCTTGCAGCAAGATGAAATACAAACTGTCTTAAATTCTACATGGCAAACAGCAGTCACCCTGATCTCCCCCTCATGACTAACACTGGTGCACTTATTTTGTGACAGCGTAGCTGTGTTCTGCTCAGCTGTTAACAATAGCTTTGTAAGCAAGTGTTGCAAGCCCTTATGGCTTTTTGATATGCCTATGTAGCTGCTTTTCTTTCCATTTCCCCTGCTATGTGCCAGGTTACAGAAACACTTCCAAGCAGCAGATTCAGAAATAGAAAGAGTTCAAGGCCAGGTTTCACACCTGCAACCTTGCAGCTCTGGGCTGTTCCAGCCCTGAGGACCAGTCTCATTATAAATCCAAGGCTTTCTCTAACATCCCAAGTTTATGTTCAGTAATTCCAAATGAAGTTTATAATTTTTCACTTATGTGTTTGGGGCAGGAAGCAATGGGAGGAGGAGGGAGAGGGACTATTGCATGGAAGCTATGTAGCCATTACATGTGTCATGTTTTCCTTTGATGAAGTAATTCAATGGAGTTCATGCAAATTAATTTATCCCCCAAATTAAGATGCTGTCTCGCTCCAATTCCCCACAAAAAGTCAAACCCAGCTACTCCTATTCAACATTAACATTCCATTCCTACTTATGCTACCCTAAATATTTCAAGGGTAATATAAGTCAGCATAAAGTTTTAAAGGGTTAAGTAGCAGTTCTAATTCTTATTTCTTTTAGAATTCTTGACAAATAACTGCTTTCAAAATCACTATAAATATAGCATTTAGTTTACAGCAGCAACAGAAAGCTACCACAAACACCCCATATGAGTTCCAAAGTGGAGGGGATTGGACATAAATGTCTTAAAAACAGAACAATGCAGCCCCCCATATGATACTATTGTGCTGTGCCCATGTATGTGCCAATGAGAAACTCTGAATCCTAAAGGGTATTCAAATAGAATAAGGCATCAGCAAGCACTGTGGCTTAAAAGGAATATTATGATTTGTTTAGAAAACAAGTTGTTCTCTAGTTGGGCAAATTGCTACACAAGACCCATATTTTGACTCCAGGTGTGATTTATGCAACCTATGCTGATTCTCTTGGATGGACTGCCCTATTCTGCCTACCTTAGACAGGACTTTTCTCCCCATGTTGTTCTAGTAGCCCTGCAAAATAGTTTAATAATCTTTAAGTCTCTGGTTTTGAAAAAAAATTGCATCAAACAAACAAGAAAAGCAAAACACCCCCCCCCCCCAAAAAAAAAAGCAAAAACAAAACCAAAAAAACCTGTTTATTTTGCTACAAGATGAGAAAAGTATATAAATTTTAAATAAAATTGCAAGGGAACAAAACTTTAACTCTGCATTGCCCTCTAGAAGAAATAGAAATGAAAGCTCTCTTCTGATATATATTGACTGTCCAAATGGAAAATAAAGACCCAATGACATTTTTAGAAGAACAGGATAAACATCTCCCTGTTCAAGCTAACAGTCTTTCCCTCTCTGCACAGAGAAATAGAGAGAGAATGAAAAGTCATTTGTATATAGCTGAGACTGTAAGCCACGGGAGTTTCTGCATCGTTACTTAATTCACTCTTAAATTAATTCAGTTAATGAGGAGGGAAGAAAAAAAGAATTTCCAGAAATATTAAAAAAAAAAAAAAAAAAAAAAATCAAACCAAAAAACCCTCAACAACAAAACCAAAAACCAAATCTCATGTCTCCATTTAGAATGCTAGAAAACTCTGGAAATGATCCTAATGTAGATTTCAGACAAATCTTCAATTTTCTGAAACAAGAACTTTGGATTTAGGCCACAAATGAAAGTAACTCAGAGTTCCCCATTAGGTCTAGTTCTACTTGAGATACTAGGATATCGAAAAACTTCAGAGTGAAAATTTAGTAACTGGCTTACCACAGAGGAAAGAAGCTGAAAGAAAAACAGACACTATCATCTGTGACTTGGTCTTTCAGGAAATGAAGATCCTTATGGTAGTAAATATAATACTTGAATTGTTTGCAAATAGGTTTAATCATCTAATTTCCATGTACAAGGAAGGAAAATCTATGCTATCAGAATTCAGTACAGCTAATTACTAGAAGGTAAAATAAAGATTTTTATCAAACATAGTGTGTGTTCTTCGGCTATTATATCTATCAATATTTATGTCACTTACAGCTCTTTCTGGGTGGTTGCTGCATACATCTTGTGTGCAGTCAAGAAGCTTCTCAACTGCAAATGTGCTTTTAAAAAGAAACCTGGCCCGAACCCTGCATTTCCAATTCAAGCAGTGGATTCTGAAGTCTGTTAACTCCCTGGAGCAGCTGATAGCTAAAGACTTGTTTCCGCTTTTCTAACAATTTCCTGGTTTGCATAACAATCCTAAAAGAAACACACTCAAGAAGTTTTCCAGTACAGAGAGATTTTTGTCTCCAACATACTTCTAATTTCAAGGTATAGAGAATATTTATATACAATTACAATAACTTTAGAGATCCATTTGTCTATAAATATATTTATGCATAAATATGTATCAGCTGCTTGTTTAAAACAAGATTATGATAATTTTGCCATATCCAGGAAATACAAAACACTGGCTTGTGCCTGGTGCTTAACTCATGCCATTGTGAATAAAGGGGGGGGGGGAGGGAAGGGGTTTAATGTTTAATTTCCTGTTAAAAACACACACAGGATAAAATCTTCCAAAGAGCAGTTATAAAACATGCATTTGTTAGCCAAGAAACTAGGTAAATATGGAATGAAGCCCAGGCTCACTTTTATTCCTTCCCCCCCTCTCCAAAGAACAAAGTAACTGAAGGCCACGGAGTGTATCTGGAGGCACTGAGCTCTACTCAGTGGCTAGATAATTCCTGAGCCTGGATGGTTTAAAAACCCTGTATCCACTGGGGTAGTTCTTCAGACCATGCAGGGACACAGCTAGGCTCAGGGTACTGCATACTGCATGTTTATAGCCCATTTGCCAAGTAGCCTCTGTCCTAACTACTTCCCACCTCACTGACACAACTAAACACAAACAAAATGAGCATTAACCTGCAGTCAGGACCTCCCAACAGCCAGTTTCTAGCAACAACAGACTGAGAACACTGGTGCCTTCAGCAGCAGCTTCAGAGACTACAGAGGACATTTTTTCTCCGCAGTTACAAGGGGAAATATTATCATCAGATCCCACTGAAATTTCACCTGCAACAATTCAGCCTTCATCACAGTTTTACCATGTATAATGACATATTGGGTTATTCTGCAATTCACCCCACTAGAATTCCCAGACAAGTATCAAAGTTCTGCATGATACATAACTATTACTGCCTTTAACAATCCCAGTTCTTCTCTTTGTCAAGATGCCCAAATTGGTTAAGAATACGAACTGAATTGAGGAGAAATTGAACTTCTATAACAGTTTTCAAGAGTAACACTGTATTTTTCACTCTTAAAATAAGTTAATCCGTCAAATAGTTTCTGCCCACTGTGTTTGGGTCACAGCTGTGTTGGGAGGTCACAGCTCCTCAGTGCACACCTTGCAGCCTGGAATTGGAGTAGTTGTGGTACTTCTTGCGACCTGCTGGGATTCACATTCAAAATTAGATGTGAACAGCTCTCTGAGTGGCTTCAATTTTGTTTTGTTTTCCAAATGAGGATAAATTTATTATTGCAGATATAGCTCAAGAGCTTTCTTAGCTTTCAGTAGCATATTATTCAAATTAACACAGTTTAAGCTTTTTAAGTAGATACACCTCAAACATCTTTGAGTCAAGGCATTTAGTTTCATTTTTCATGCAAGAAAGGCACAGAGATTACGTATCTCTCTGGTGAATTAAATCCAATGGCAGGAGTGCTGAATTTCTTGCTGACTCTTTGTAAAACTGGCTTTGAGACTATAAAGAGTCCTGAGTTTATTTCTAAAACCTGCACTTAACATCTGTCATAGGTATTTGTGCTCTTTCCTCTTGAAATCCAGCACTGTTGACCACCAATTTAACGACAGTTCACCAGTAAATCTCATACTACTGCATGAGTTCAAAATCTTCATGTTTATTTCCACTTGCTGTCACTGGACTTTGTGCCCTGATCCCATGGTTCTTCATGTGAAAAGAAATTCACTAAAAACATTAGGAGAGAGAAAGGGAATAGGGTGGAGAAAATCCATAACACAAAATGAGCCCTGACTTGCCTCCTCGGCACTGTACGTACCCCCAAGCAATGAAATTTCAGGAAAATGATTATGTTTCTGGCCAACAGTCAGAATATATAAGATGTTATACACCCTTTGCCTCACTGTATGTTGCTGCTGCAAGACTCTTGCAAAAGCAAGATGTAAGTTTTTTTTTTCCCATTGCTTCTCAACAGTAAGGCAAGTTGACAAGTATTTACTGCTAGTTACAGCAAGGTATTAAAGATTCAAGTGAAGTAGTGGTATTCTCCAGTGCAGTGGTGACCTGAGCCTTTAATCCAGAAGAATTTAACTGTAAAGTGCATTAGCTCTTCTCATAAAAGATTTGCTTTAATTTTAGTTCTCTCTCCATTTATCTTATGGCTGTGTAATCTTCAGTAGAGGTCAAAGAGATTTCCCCAAAGAAACAAGAGCTGTTTCTTTTTTAGAGGAGAAAAGCATATTTAAGACAGTTCGTCCTACTTTTAAACATATGTCACAGGGCAGTACTCCCTGCTCTCCTTTCTCTGTAGCTCTCCTTGCTTCTTTACATGTTCCAAAGCAATTAAACAAGCATGCATGTGCATGCACACGTATACAAATTGAAACACGAAATGAAAACACCTTCTGCAGATAGGATATGCAGCCCATCTGATGCAAGGACTGAAATTATTACTAACATCTTACCATCATCCAACTCCAGACAGAGATTGTAAACAGCCAGAGGCCTCTTAATACGTTGTCCTTGTCTTCTTGACTGCCTTGGTGGGGCATTTGGAGGAGATACTGACATAGAGATTGGCTCGGGGAAAGTGGCATCAGGCAGGGTTTTGAAAATCTGCAATCAAGAACACAAAGGGTGTTAATTATTTATCATGAAGAGCAACCGGTGTAATGCAACTGTAAACCATTATCAAACAACATTTGTTTTGGATTTCATTCAAAGCAGACAGGAGCCAAAAAATCCATTCCTTCAAGTTTGGGAGTATGCCGTGGGTTTTTAATGAGTGCTTTTAAAATAAATAAATAAGTAGATAAATAAAATAACCAAGAGCACTGTCTACACATTAACCAAGCTGCCAGTCAGTTAATTCAAAGACAAAATATTTGCAGCCACACTTACCAGCCAGGATGGAGGGGAAGGAGAAAAAGAAGGATACTAACTTTAGGAACCAACAACCAAAAAGCTTCATAGCTTTAGCTAGAACTTACAATTTTGCCAGAATATCCATTTTAGTTTTCAAAACTTGTGATATCGTTTTATCCGCCATTTTAATTAAGGAAAACACCATATTCTCTAAGAGAGCAAGGGGAAAATTTTCTGGGCAGGGGTTTGTACTGGGAAATACCATAGTAACAAAACATGAGAATTTATTCAGTTAACTATTGCATACTGAGACAAATTTGTATTAAATGCTGACATCTACAGAGATGCAAATAAAAAAGATTGCATTTCCTGTCATCATTTTATCTTTTGAGCCATGACCCTTAGCACATCACCACTCCACACAAAATATCATGTCATTTCTCTCTGAATGAATTAACCAGTAACACAGATTTGCTGTACCTGACAGCACCTTTACTGACACATACAGTCTAATGATGCTGATTTACTTGTAGAAAACTATCACTATGCCGATGTACAATTTAACAGCAGCCTTTTCCAAGTGATCATGGCAGACTCACATGAACAAACTAATTTAATATATATTTCATCAAAGACAAAGCAGCAGATAAAGAAAAACACAGAAGCTATACTAGAAAAGCCCTGTGTCTGTATAGCACCTCGCCACATGGTAATATAGCAAGATATAATGAAATATTATATGATGTTCTTGTAATCTGCAACTTTACAATATTTAGTATAAGGATATGTGACAAAGAGGAGAGTTGCAATGAATCTTTGAAGGAGAAGCTTTTTACGAAGTAGAAATTCATGTGGAAAGTATAAAGAGACAACACAGATAACACATTTTCGGATTATCACAGCCCACGTCAGGTGCAGTATTAAGCTAAAAGCCAGTCAGGCTCTGTACAGGTGAGAAAAAAGTGCCATAAGCATCCTGTACTAAGGCACTCAAGACATCATGTTAAAAGTACTAGAAACTCTAAATGCCACCCTATTCTGGCCTGTTAACCCTGAATATCAACGTGAAGGAATAAAATTACCCAAGAATCCACACATATGCTGATTTACAGCTACTTAATCATCATTCTTGTACTGGCAGGGACAAAGTAATCAAGATATCCCACTTTCCATGAGAACTGTGGAAAAGTTAGCATATTCCCAAAACTGGGCAGCAGCAGGCCAGAAGTCTCTATATAGTGTGCAAAGAAAACCACCAGTGGAAATACCACCTTCCTTTCTAATAAGTGAATGTTGCTGTGGGGCAGGTAAAATGATGGCATTCGAAGTTCCCCATACCAGCGTTAAGAAAGTTGTATCCCTTCACATGCCTATGAACAAGGGACTACCAGAGCACGCCAAAATAGCGCAAGGAACTCTCTAAAAACAAAATGTTTACAAAGAAGAAAAGAAACAGTCCAACCTGGTTCTCCCCAGGACAAACACAGCAGCACTCTCAGGCAGTGACAAAGCTCTAATTGTGCTCAGAGTTCTAAAGTCATTTCTTAAACCATGATGCAATATATAATAATGAAATCCAACGTGCACCTACATGGCACTTGGCTAACAGTACCACACTGCCCCCTTATGTGTAAATACAGGGCTAGATTGAGCAGTTTTAGGGATAAATATTTGCTTCTGAAAAATTCAAAAGTACCAAAACTTTAAATGCCATCTTTTCCACGGACTAAGTGTTGCATTTGGGCTCTCTGGCAAAAAAACTCTCTGCCAAGAGGTTTCAGCATGTTGTTTACTATGTCACATTCCGCAGCTGTGTTTATTTGTACAGCCTTATCCACAGATCTCTGCTGAAATTAATGATGGTGAGAAGAACAAGTATTCCCCAGGAGTACTTTATAAGAGATGAGCTTTCTTGTATGAATTTCGGTGACTTGCACAGGTTGCAGTGAAGTTCTTCAGTGCTTTTTACTTGTCTCTCACAAATAATGCAAAATACTCTTCTGGAAAGTATTAGCATAAGAAACTAAGAGTCGGAACAGGAGAAGACAAAAAGACCTTTTGTTCTTTCAAGCAGCTCATAGTTGTGTCCATCCATACTTTGGTATTTTCATTTTGTCATTTAATAGGAAAATAAAATCCAGTCCAGCCCAGCCCAGCCATGTCATAACTAGACCTGTTCTTTCAGTAGCAGAAATCTCTTTCTGTTGCAGGCCAAAGCCTCAGCAGGTACTGGTTTTGCAAATGTGAGCATCTGAAAAGCAAGCAGAACGTCAGCCTCTGCCTTAAGAAGCGCACATACAGTGTTCAGCTTCTCTTTCTTGCTTCATTTTCACTTCAATAGGCAAGCACTTTTCATCATTCCTTGGATATTTGCCTGCTGCATTGACAGACTCACTGTAAGGTCTGCCTGAGAATGGGATTGTCAGAAGCTCACTGTGCATGCACAGAAGACTGAATTCAAAATCATACACACATAATATGAGCATCTGAAATGGTACCAACATTATTTTGTGTTGACTGACTTGTACAAAAACATGGGACTACGGATGACCAACCTTCAGAGAACCTTCTTGCGCCGCAGATGCATGGCGAGGTAATCACACATATCCAACAGGAGGGAAACCTTCCCATGGAAGAATAGGATTGCAATGTGCTATTTCATAGGTGATCTTTTTGCTACTGAAAAAAAAAGAACCTCCCTTAAAGTCCATCACTCATCTGGACTGCAGAATTTACAAAAGCCTAGATTAACGCCTGTAATAAAGACAAGAACAAAGTCCACTCATTGAATTACGTCAAGAAACAATAAAAATATACTAAACCAACCTCCAAGTTTAAAAGATTTTACAGTCAGATCCAGCATTACAGTTTTTGAGACTATGGCCAAACTGCATTAGATTTATAGACTATCAGTTCTCTACAATTCAGTTCTTCAAAGCACTGGCATCCTGCTATTGACCTAACTGGGGTAAATTCAGAAAATAAGTGCAACAATTTAAATTTGGGAGAAGATTAAGTCACGTCGTGCTCAAAATTTTAATCAAGCCACAAATTCCAACAGTTAGTTGGATCAGTTAGTCAGTCCCACTTAGTCCACTATTATAAATGGCTCTTTAGGTCTAATCTTACATGAAAGCAGAATCCCAAAATGCACACTGACTGAAGTGGTGGATTAATGTCCAAGCCTGCAGTGTAAAAGTTACAACAGAAAAAATTAGGCTTTTGTGGAGCAATTTAAAACACGGGTAAGTTTGACCTATTTCTCTCTATTCAGTAGCATAAAATGGATATTGGGACTAAACAAACCACAAACCATCTTGGATATACAGCGTTAATAACAGTTCTGTCTAGAGCAGTGAGCCCAAGACCATCCCTGCATATAATCATTCCAATTCCTAAATGTGTCCCACAAAGTCTATGGCAGCATTTCTTGAGAGTAATGAGCCAAATTCAACATATTATCGTACTGTATTCTACCAGCAGATCCACGTGGCAGCAGCCCAAGGAATTTTGCCAGATTCCCTTTAATCTGCAACAACACTGTTGGACTCTAGATCCTGAGCTCTTACTAGAGCTGATTTTAGATATTCAAAAAAAAACCCATGGCTGGGAGGATTTAACTTGGCCTATTCCACAAGTTTATGACTAGATGTATAGCTGTACATGGAAATGTAGATTAGATTCTGCTGCTACTAAAGAATACTGATCTGTTCTTTTTGGTCTCAAACAGAACTAATTAATGAATTTCAGTATGTTTGCCAGGAATCACTTTAGGAAAAGACCCAGACATCAGGTCATCTCTGTCTGCTTTGTTTCACTGGGGTAATTAAAATTTCCTCTAAAAATCAGTAGGAGGCAAACAGCAAGGACAGAGTGGGATGAAAAAGAGGGGAGAAAAAACTGGAGGTTTAGTAATAGAGCTAATGAGGATAAACTTATAAAAAACCGTTAACAGTTTAAAGCTGTACCATGATTTTGTTGAGAAAGACCCTATCACTGCCTTACAGAACATGAACCTATTTCCTTTGAAGATACAAACACAAATGAGAATACCAGAAGTCACTGTCTAACGCAAAGGAGGCAAGAATGTACAAGGTCATTCCAAATTCTTTGAAATTTGGCTAGTGGTTTAGCCTCCACTACTACATTCATATATTGTAGAGGACTGTACTTCTCAAGACAAGAACAACACCTGTACCGGTTTTTATTTGGGTAATTTCCCTTCAATACAGACTTGATTTGCCATTGGTAAGGAAAAGAGACACACAAACACTTCAACTAATGTTTATTGAGCATTATAAGACACCTTTCACCTAGGCGAAATATACTGCCCTGCCCTCATACACTTTATGGCTATGGTACTCCTTGCATTTCTATGACAACTGGCTATAATATATGCTGACCAAAGAATATTTTATAAGTTAGTTGATAGGATAGAGCAAGAGAAACTTATCACCATGGTCTTTCCTTGACTTAGCTTCATTTCAACATAATGCAAACCCAATTCAGGTTAAACCCAGCAATCTGTACAAACCCAAAACCCATGTATTTATTTATACCAGAGACAAAAATTCTCAGAAAAAGAGGCCAACTGTCTTCGTGGTTCACAGTGTGCTCTTACTCTGATAAATTTTCTAAGCTTTTTTCCCCATAAGATAATGAAGACAGTGGCTGTAGCAGTCTTTTTTTCGCTTTCTGCAAACATAAAGCAACAATGTATTTTATGTCAAATTATAATTTCAATGTTGATA